ATTATAAAATAGTGTTAGAGCAGCAGGCACATATTTAGAATTAATGAACAAGTTACCTCTAAACCATCACTGAGCTTTATATTAGCTTTCGGTGCTAGAAACTAGCTCACAGTCACCTCAGTTAAAAATTCTGCTTGATTCTAGGTTGTTCTTTTGTTTTTTTTAAATCTAATCTTAATTTCAGTACATTATGAAGATAAATCAGCTGCCTCCCATATTGTTTTATAAAAAAGGCTGATTGTAGTGTTATGTAGATCTCAGTAACTAGCACTTGAATAATTTTGAAATCCAGATGTTGTAAGTGATAGATCAAAAGGTGTCACTACATACAAATCATTTCTTTACCAAAGTTGTATAATCATTCACAACCTAATAATTCATTAATTTCAATAAGACGTTGACAATGCTAACTTTTCCAAGCTGCGGTCTCTATCTTTCAATGAGAATCTCCAGGATTATGAAGTGAATAACTAAAATGTAATTATTATTCTATGATTCATTTTAGCTTGATTCATTTTTATCTGTTTCTCTTTCCTGAAACATCATTAAAACTTTGGTTTTTATGGACTTCAATTGAATGCACTTTATAAGACAGAAACACAATGGACATCATTTGTATAATTTGTGCTGCATGGTGGTATTGTTGTTGACTCAACAGATTTGGGAAACAAGAAACACCCTTCCTCCCAATTAATCTGTTAAAATGAAGCTTCCCTTTATTTTTTATTTTGAAATAAGATTTCAAAAAAAACAGAAGAAATATCTATGAAATTAAAGGGGTGATCAGAAAAAAAGGACCTGGTTGCCAGAGATCCAGGTTGGTCTGTAATGAAATTACCACAAGCTTTTCTTGCCTATATTTTCATGATCTGGAGGGCTTTTCTATTTGGGCTAGGGCATATTTGATGTATGAATTCTGTTTTTCACAGTGTGATGTAGTTAAGGCAGCTGGGTGTCTTCTGTCATGTGCCAGCTGTGGGCAACATGTGCTAGGTAATCTCTTTTTCCATCTTGACCAAATCTCTTCTATATTTTCAGATTTGGAGCTGCATAGTCACTGATCATGCAACTGGCCATTTGCTCTTTGCCATAAAGTCACTTCGTGCTCTTTTGAAGCACAGCAGATAAATAGAGCCTGATATGAACAACTTAAGTGTATTTCATGCCTTGAGTAATTCTTCCTGCTAAAAACCTGGAATGTCAAATTATCTCCTAGTCCTTGCTGTCTTGGCCTCTCTGTTTGTCCTGGCTTCATATACTTAATCTCAGATGAAGGACTCATGGCATGTTAAAGTTAGCTTTCTATCACACATAGCTGTTAACTTGGATGAATGATAGGGACACAATAGCTAATAGGGATCTTGAGATACTAGAACTATGACATTTACTATCAACTTTCCTGGTCTGGCAAGGTTAGCCCAATTGGCCAATAGTAAAGTCAATGCTCAATCACATTCTACTGATCTCAGTAATTATAAGCTAGTCCCAATGATTCCATATGTTATTATATTAATAGCATATATTTAAGGCTAGTTTTAGGTCTGGTTTAAGAACAGAGAGTTTTTCCATAACTCTGGTTAATTGGGATTAATTTTCCTGGGAAAAATTGAAAGGTTGACACTCTTCATTCTTATACCTGTCTTAACAACATTAAAATAATTATTTCTTGGCCACATTCTAAATCAAAATGATCAATGCCAAGTCCTTTCTTGACGCATCAATTCAGGTCCTAGTCATTGTTGACATGCCACAATTCTTAATTTTTTTTTATACTGTCCATAATTACCATGAGAGAGATCTACCAAATCCAACTTTCTTTTTATATTTTAAAATCTACATTTAATTTTTGGGCAAGTCATCTGATGACATAAAACTATGTACTATTGATATGGTAATTAGTACAGGTAGCCCTTGACTTATGACTGCAATTGAGCCCAAAATTTCTGTTGCTATGTAAGACAGAAGTGAATTTTGCCCCGTTTATGACCTTTCTTGCCAGTTGTTAAATGAATCGCTGCAGTTGTTAAGTTAGTGACAAAGTCTGGCTTCCCTTTGCTTGTCAGAATGTAGCAAACAATGATCACATGAGCCTGGAACGCTGCCTCTGTCATTAATGAGTCAATTGCCAAGCATCTGAATTTTGATGGGGATGTTGCAACAGTCATGTGAAAAACAGTCACAAGTCTCTTTTCTCAGTGCCTGTAATATTGAATGGTCACTAAACAAGTTGTTGTAAATCAAGGACTACCTGTACCAGTTTCCTGGAGAACATATATAATTGGAAATGAACTCGGGTAAAAAGATAGGAGGGAACCCAGAGTGTCCTGTATTATTATAACTGGGTATCCACTGGATTATTAATTGGCAGATATCCATTTGGAATTGAAATATTTTGCCTGCTTGTCTTGGACTGTGCCGTAATTGCTGAATGGCAGTTGCAACCCAGAATGATGTACTGGTTTGCAAAGATACCTGGCTTCTACCAGTTACACCCATGTCACATCTAGCAACTATAATGCAATCTCATGGAAATTTCTTTGAAAATGATCCGGTACCCTCAGTAGACATAGAATACCAACGAGGTAAGAAACATATCCCCATCCACTCTGAAATACTGGCACATTTACATTTTCAGAGGCTGGTGGAATCTGCTGGTTGTGATATTTAAAGGCCTACATGGCTTGGGTATTGTCTTAGAAAGCTCTCTTTTCTGTATAGTATTTAGGGGGTTGCAATTTTGTTGACAAAGACCGTAATAACTGTTTATGAAAAACAGGTTCAGCTTTTTCTAAGGGTAGGTCTTGAAAAGTGAAATAGGATTCTTTTAAGAGGTCTGCTCTTCACTGGTCTCATTTGGATGACAAATACATTCTCATTTTACTAAAGAGGGAATGTAAATAGAAGTGTGCTTCTGCCATTCTTGCCTTTAAACCATCGGTGTCAAACTCATGGTATCACATTGCTGTCACGTGATGTTTCTTCCCATCACGGAGCTGGGATGGGCATGGCCTGCAGGCCACCAGTTTGACACCCCTGCTTTAAACTATATTGCAAATATCTTCTATAATTTATTGAAAATTAGCTAGGGAACACTGGTATTACACTATGGAAATAGTTAATACATGCAAGGAATACTGAGTATGTTCTATATCCTTGACTAAATGCCATTTAGATGCAATTCTCCTTTATCTTATTTATTAGTTATCATATCTGAGCCACATAACTTCAGACAATCAGTAGATGATAGCCAAGAATGACCTTTCTGTATCTCTTTGTCATCTAGTGGCCCTCTGAAGTTCTGTAGCCCAGATCTCTACATTTATAGATACTTCCTGAACGTAGAATGAGAGACCTGGAAGCCTTAGAGGCAACCTAGTCCAACCTCCTGTTCTGGGTTTGATCCCCTGAAACAATTTGGAGAATTTATCTAGTCTGCTTAAAGACTTTCATTTAGAGGGAACATACTTTATGAGGCTGCCTGTTTCACAGGTTTACCATCAGGAAATTCCTGCATCTATTTGAATCTACTTCTCTGTAGTTTCAGTCCTTTGATTCTGTGCCTGCTGTCTAAGGCAACAGAAACCAAATCCCTTCTGTCTTCTCTATATCAATCATTTAGATATTTGAAGATTACTTTCATGTTTCTCCCAGACCTGTCTTCCACAGACTAAACATATCCACTTTTATCCAGTGTGTCTCAAACCTTGGCTACTTGAAGATATGTGGATTTTAATTCCCAGAATTCCCTCTGACTGGGGAATTCTGGGAGTTTTGAAGTCCATATACTTTCAAATGGCCATGGTTGAAAAACACTGCTTTAATAATTCCTCACAAGAGTTTAAGTCTCATCACCCTCTTGGTGGTCCTCCTCTGAAGACATCCACATTTTATTACGATATGTGGTTTTTCTTTTAGTTCATAAAATATCTACCCAGAGCATGAAGCAGGTATATATACTTAAATAGTTTTGTCTTTGTTATGCACTATGTCTTCAGAATTAGTAGCTCTTCCTCAATTTGGTGCCCTTTAGGTGTGTTAGATTTTGACTCCCTAATTCTTTAGCTAACAAGACCAAGAGAAATAGGTCTACTGTACCTTCAAAACATCAACTTTAGAAAAACTATAGACAGAAATCTCCAGATACATGTATATATAGATATACTTAGACATAATTTTCCATGTGATGAACAGATAGACTACCAAGTGATACTACTGATCATTTGATATTAGCAAATGATACTACTAAGAGCCACATTTGCTCTTGTCCAATGCCCAAGCAGGGTTAAAGAAGTACCTTTGATGTCCGGTCTTGCAGTCCTGCTGTTTTGAGCCATAGCATCACTAAAGAAATCAAATATGTCAGAGAGTCCAAGAGTCAAACTTGCTACTGCACATCATTGCTTCTATAGGAAACTTCTTTATCTCTTAGTTTTATCTGTGCAATGGACCATAAACAACTCCTAAAGCAGTTCCTGTCATAATTTTCATTTCTGACTGTACATGTGTTTTCTCTGATTCCCAACTACCCCAATCCATTTTCAATCCGTTTCTTTCCTCCTTTGCTTCGTTTTAATCTCAGCTTCTCTCTCTTTCTTGGGGACCTGTCTCAATCTGTCAACATTCTCAATAGCTTTGACTTTGCTAAATTCTGATTTGGAAAAGAGACACAAGGTCTCCTTTTAGAGGAATGTACTAGAATTAGATAGCCAGAAAGAAGGGAGAAGTACATACAGTGCTCACTAACAGTTTTATACTGTGTACGCTTTAGTTTAGTGAAGTTATCTATGTATTATGGAGTGAGAAGGTTTTGTTTTTCTGCTGGCTTGAGGAAGAACCTAATATTGATTTGGGCACAGAAAAAATTGACTGGACAAATTGGCTTCTGTTCCTAATCTGGGCCTCCCTGCTTTTAGTCCAGCACTTTAACCACTATACCACACTGGCTCGCTATTTGCAAGAGAAGTTAATCTAAATAAAATTGCAGCCGCTAACACCTGAAATGTTTTTTAAATTATTTAACTTTTATTACTGTTGCACCATTTATACAATTACATATAATTTCAATGCATCCATTGTACATTTTGCTTTTTCTTTTGTTTATTTCCAATGAGAGGTGACTTGGTGTCTGTGACACAGAATGGAAGAGAAACTGGAACTGCAATGAACGCAGATATTTTTTTTTTTCATTTTCACTGACCAATAAACAGAACTACAGGTGCACTCAACCACAGACATGCATTAAACTCGTCATGAGAAATCTAGGTAGGCTAAGTAGGATGAGAATGCTTTTTTTAACTATTTTTTTAACTCCCAAAAATATTTGGGGAAGAAGAAGAATTGCAGGATTGGCATTGAGAAAAAATGTTGACAGCTAGGTGAGTTTTGTCTGAAAGTTGCCATTCATCCACTGCATAAAAAATACAAAATGATAAAGCCTGTAAATAAAATTTTTAAAGAACCCACAAGAAATACTGCTTTTATAAAGATTTGATTGGTCTGGCACTGGCCCAGAAGGCAGAATTAATCCTATCATTGCTCCTCCATCTCTCCTAGGAAAAAGGAAGGAAAAGATAAGTGGAGTGCATTTAGAGCAGGTCAGGAGGAAAAGGAAGAAAAGGAGTAGGAGAAAATAAAGAGGCATACTGCACTTTCAGACAATCTGGGTTGTCTTCTTAATGAAATGCAGAGATTTTTGGAAAGTTGGCAGAAACTATATTAGATATTTCCCCCACAAAAATACTATTTAGATTACCCCATGTCGACCATTCCCCCATCCCCCTTAACTTAATGGGATACTTCTTGCTTGCTTGCTTGCTTGTTTTCATGGGCAATACAGTTCAGCTACATAACAAGTTAGTAGAGCTGGGGAAAAAAAGATAATTAAAAAAAAGACACAGGTTGTTTTAAGTGGTTAATTTTGTTTTGTTTTGCAATAGGCTGTCCAATTTAATCCTTCACTGCTATGGTTTGATCCGAGTTTGCTGCTGGAGCTTCAGATGGTTTCGCTTCCTCTGGTGGGGCTGCAGGCTCTGAGGCCTTAGGAGTAGAACTAGGTGCTTCTGTTGTTGTTGGGGTCTCCTTGGAAGAAGGTGCAGCCTCGTTGCTGCTGCTGCTGGGTTTTGAGTCTGAAGCTTGGGCCACATCACTTTTAGTTTCTGGGACTGCAGGAGCCTCAGTCTTTTTGGCTTCCCCTTCCTCCTTGCCCTTGTCATCTCCTTTACTAGTAGCTGTGACCTCTGAAGGCTGGGAAGCTTTTGCATCACCACTGGGCTCTGAGGATTTCGGGGTGTCACTGCTGGTTGGAGGAGCATCTGAGCTCGGCTCCTCCTTAGAGGTTTCGGTGCTCTTCGGAGGCTCTGCCTTTGTGTCACCCTGAGTGTCTGGCTTCTCTGGTTCTGGCTTCTTCTGTTCTTCTGGGCTTACACCTTTCTCCCCTTCCTTCTCTTCCGTCTTATTGGCAGCTACCTGGGCATCTTTGTCTCCCATCTCCTCTTTGTTATTCTCCTTCACTTCTGCAGTCTCCGTGGTGGTCTGCTGGCTTGGCTCATTCTCTTTTGGAGCCTCCCCTTCCTCAGCTGTTGTCCCCTCAGCCTTCTTGTCTTTATCTTTGGTCTTTTCATCATTCACATTATAACCCTTCTTCTTCTTGCTCAGTTTACCTCCCATGGTGGAGCTCTGGAAATGAGAAAAAGGAGAAGGTCAACCTCCAAATACGGGTCACCAGTAAAATGAACACTACATTACTTTGTCCTTCTGACACAATATGCAAGCAATAAATAGAGAAGAGTGAGCTGCATCCAGAGTAAATTTCTCAATCATGTTTTTGATCTTTTGAAATAAATGAAATGAACTAGTCATCAATAATTCAATCCCATTTCATAAAAACAGAAGTAAACAAGACTGTTTCCGTCATATTGTCCTATCAATGCAACCTGCTAAACTGTAAGCGCCTGTGTTCATCTATAAAGCTAAACCCAAAGCACATTATACTCAGTAGGATATGCAAACTCAGCCTGTATTTGAATGCAGTCCAGCCATTTTATACGTGCAAACTAAAGTAACATTTTCAGTATGATCTTATGCTGTACCACTTGAGTTGCTAGTGGATTTAATTTTGCCAGAAAGGGGAAATATTACATCTATTTATGATTAGTAAAACCATAATTTCACAGAGAAATGCAGATCCCTGGGCCCAAAATATTGTAAATCTCCATTCTGTAGAGATACATTGTCATGTCTTTCTTTAAAAATGTTTCTATTTCCTTTCTACAACTCTTAAATCTGGATAGCAGTAGCATTAGAAGACTATCTCTCTCCACAATAAACTTACTGAAGAAATAAACACCAATTCAGGATCCTATCCCTCTTCAAATGCCCTAGTACACATTTCCTATATTACCTTCTTTCATATACCATTCACACTATTTCACCTTAATATAATGAAGGAAAATTCCATTGCATTGTATAAAGAGCAATTGTTTACATTTTCTAAGTATAAACATATACAACGACATCCAAATAGGAATGGGCAATCTTACCCAGATCCTGAAAAAAGGCCTGCTTAATTTATCTTCATTTAATTTTTCCTCAGCCTTCCCACAGATGTTTACTAGAGTGAAACTTTCCAGGCATTGCAAACTGCACTCCAGGCAAATGAATTTCATTCTCTTATTTTAGATGGCCTTTTTTCATCTGAAAAATATTGGACAATTTCCCAAAGCTTATGTAATTCTGTAAATTTTATGAAGTTGCAGCCACATGCCATGTGTAACATGCTCCTTGCCTTGCTCCTACAGGATGCCAATCCTGACCATCCATCTAACCTCTAACCTCCATTCTGATATGATCTCAGTTAATAAACCAGAAAAATAAGTTGGAGCAGAGCACAGCAGAGAGAAGTAGGGAACATGTTGTAGCTATAAGCTTGGGATGATTGTCGGATCATAACTTCTGGGCGCATTAGTTCATGCATATTTATTCTTGCCTATATTTTCTGTAATTTAAAAGAGGAAAGATTTGCTTGTGGTTTCCCCTTGCATGCCTAACCATGTCTTAGGAAATAAAGATTTTCTAGCCATTTATACACTCACAAGCATTCATCTTTAGAAAAAAAAAATCAAAGGTAAATAGCTTGCTAGGAAAGATTTTAAATAATGCAGTGAATTTAAAATGGATCCCACGTCGACCCTTCCAAAAAGACACCCAGCCCACTTTGGTCAGGAAAATAGTTGCTAAAACCTAACAACATTAGTGCCGCTACATTTCATCCATGTAGGTCACTGTGAGTTTATTGCATAAACAACATGTTCATGCCCATCCAGTCACATTTCACTTCACTGTGGTTTTTGCAAATCAGCAAGAGCGATGTATTAAACAAAAGCGAGAGTTATATTTGCTTCCAGATAGTCGATCCCCAATTAAGCCTCTATTTGTTTGCCTGGTAATGGCTAGATAACGCAAATCAGCTTTTGTGCAAGGTGCCTATTTCTTCCCTCCCCTCCGCAGTTTATATCCCCAAAACAGGATGGACAACAGAAGCAGGTATAGTGCGAGCTGCCAGAAGATACTTTTCAACCTGACCATAAGTTATGCCATTATATTTGAATGCTAGTATTTTTTCACAAGAATGAAGGACACTCACACATTTAACTGAGATATAAAGAATCAGCCATGGGGGAGGGGTGCAGATGAGAGGAGCACTGAACATCTACCTGTTTGGGTTTTGTTTGGTATTGTTTTTAATGATCGTTGGATTAGACAGGGTCAGTTTTGTCCTCACCCAAAATACATTTCATTTCCATTCACATTTTGCTTTCATCTATTGATTCTACTAATTAGGTCCTGTTCAATGAGCTCAAATGTCCTTTTTGTGCCAAGCTACAATGAGCTGAGAAAATTCAATGTCTGCATGTAAGATGCATTTGAAGGGGTGGGGTGGGATATTGAGTCAAAAATAGAAAATGAAATAACATGGCAGTATAACACCACTTCTCTAATAATTCTACAATGTACAGGCAATTGAAGTCCTCCTTTTTATGGGTATGTAGTGTACATTCAACAGGGTTGGGGCTTTGATCTTCTAGTCTCACTCAGTATGTTGAAACCTGTCACACTCACCATGTTGAAACCAGTTTCACTCACTATGTTGAAACCAGTTACTGTAACTGACTGAGACCAAAGCAAAAGAAGGGATTGAAATCTAGAAAGGATTCCTTAAACTGCCTTTTTCTTCCCAACTGGCAAATGACTGCAGCACAGATAATGCCTGTTTTTGTTTAATATATAAAAATATAATGTCAGGGTTTATTTATTTATTGTCCCTTTTTTCTGCATCTGCAGCAATTAATTAGCATGTGTTAAGCCAGTCAAGAAAAACAACAACAACAACACAGTTGAGAAGTATTCCTATGTTATAGGTAGATGTGAGGAAGGAAGCATAACAGGAAAGGATGAGTATTCTGGGGGAAGATGGAGTGTTCTGGTTTTATAACACTGTGATCCCTAAAAAGAGGGTTGATCCCCTCTTTAATGTTTACAGCCAGTTCTTCTGTGAATTGAGGCTATCTCATTGAGCCTTTTAATTTTAGTTTTCCCAGATAATTATTAGGAGGAGTTAAGGAAGACATGAAAATTTATACCATAATCCTACTCCATAAAAATTTCCAACAAAATATGAGGACAGTTATTAGGTCTTTGTTCCATCAGACCAGTTTGAATTAGGAGTGCCATGGTTGTATTAATTCCTTAAAATGCATTTTTATATCTGTGAATTATTGAAGTGAGGTTTTCAATAGATGTTACATTACATTATGCACTACAGTAGGTGTTAAAAAAACACTGTTAAGGAAAAAATGGCTGCAGATCTTTTAAAAATATGAATGCCAGCTCATATAAACTCAGATTTCTCTACAGCACTAATCAGTCTATACTCATCCAATGAAGGATACAGAACAGATTATATTTTAAGTGCCTTTTAATTTACTGTTTAAAAATATATCCCATAATTGCCATTAAAAAGTCTAAAGCAAAAATGAATATTGCTGTTTTGTTTGTGCATTAAATACAGGAAGTCAACCAGGGTAGTATTAACTCATTTATGAGATATATTAACCTTCAATACCTGTAGGAATAGATACATAACAAACTAGCCCAACATGTTCAACAGATGGTTTCCTTTCTGTGGAAGAATAATTGCAATAATCCCTAGTCAACAGTATTTTTTCCCATGTTGAGTACCAGAAGAGTTGTAGTCTCTGGACATGCAAAGGGCAACAAGCTAGAGAGGGCTATGCCAATCACTACCTTATATCAAGTGTTATGAAAAGGCTTAATTTAAATCAACTCGATTTAAATCATAATTTTTAAAGAGCAACTGTCACCTCTGTCCTGCTCCTCCTCTGACCCGCTGTTGACTTACCAACAGTCCCAATATTGCAGAATATACAGTCTCATGCTACATAACATGCTCCATTTCATGCTGAATAAAATAAACTATTAATATATCTTAAATAAATAGAAAACTATCTTTAGACAGATTTTTACTCCAAAAGCATTTTATTAAAATAAATTTAATAAAAATAAAAAAAAAATCCAATTTAAATAAAAAAAATGATTTTTTTTTTTAAATCATCGATTTTTATCCACCCTGAACATACAGATAAGTGTCCAGATACAAACAAAGAACATTTTTTTCTATTTCTAATGGATTGGTAAAGGCAACATCTTGGCAAAGGTTGATAGTTGCTGTTTAAATCAAGAGCACAATCTGGACAGAAAAAGTTAAATCTACCTCCTGTCCAGACCACAATCCTAATCTTGATTTAAGGTCCTGGGGCTACTACTTAAAAATCACCAGATCTAAAAGCCCTTTTCCCAACTCCCATTTATTGCTTAACCTCTGGGTAGTAAAAGGCAAGAAAAACACCACTATTAAAAAAACCTGCAGGATTAAAAGAGAAGCATGATTATATCCATATACTTTTATTGACTAAGCTTTTGAGAAACTCACAGCTCCAACCCTCCACCACCAACTTTTCAATAAACTGTGGACCGAATTGGGATAGTTAAACTAGATAAACTTATTTATTTTATTCATTTGGTTTGTCAATCGCTTACAAGGTAATAGATAGAAGTATAAACATGAGTAAGAATGCAGGAAATAGGTACGAATAAATGGGGACAATAGGACAGGAACAGTAGGCATAATGCTGCACTTATGCACGCCCCTTACAGACCTTTTAGGAATGGGGTGAAGTCAATAGTGATTAGTTTGAGGTTAAAGGAGTGCCTAAGTATACAAATAAAACTTGCCTAAGTATTCAATAAAAAATACTTTGGTAAGCTGATTGAATGGTCATTCTTCCCACCTTGCCTTGTATCATCTTTGTGGTGGAAATGTCTAGAAAAAAATCACTGAAACGTTCTTTTTAAACAAAGGGAGCTTATCCTGCAAATCCTGCTAAGAGCTTCAACAATGTCCACATGGCAGCTTCTCCCATCATACTGCTGTACTAAGAGGACAAGAGGCAGCTCTTGTAAACCCACTCCTAAAAGTAATTCTGTGCTTAGGATTTAGGGTGGAACACTCACATACACTCAATACATCAGCCAATGAATGAAAGGGGAGGCTTCAAAAAAATTATTTGAAGGATTCTAGACTAGCTTCAGCAGATTCA